TTTCGACACTCCTCCTCCATCCTTCCTCTTCCTTGTGGAATCGTTTTCACAGCTCATTTTCATTTTCGTCAGAGCTTTCTTTACTCCCCCAACAGCGAACCCTTCAGCGACGTCGGGGCCACCACCGGAGAGGGCGAAGAGTAGACACACGAATGACGATTAGAGCACTTTCATCTGATCATCTTCTTATGCGATGTCAGATGGGAGGGTAGAGGAGCTAACTGACAGTCGTCAGCCAACAACCTCGGAATTTCAAATAGTTGATGCCTTTTCCGAGAAGGGGAGCACGCGGGGGTGTGTGTGTGTGTGTTGGTTGTAAAAGTTCATAAAAAGTCGTGATGTATACGGCGCTATCCCGGTTGTCTGAACCCGGCTGCCGGCTTGGGATTCGAGCGTGCAGGATGATGATGGCGAGAAGGGTCCAGATCGTGCCAGCATTTTAATTACCTTGTAAAACTGGGATGAAATGCCCTAAAAGTGGCAAAGTAATGGCAAGTAAGGCAACGGTGGCGTCCAATAAAAGTGCAATCAAAATCATCATGACGTTCCACGTAGACAATCATCGTCTTTGTCTGTATGTGTGAACAATTGTATTTGTACTTTACGGTCTCTTGTTTATTGTTCGTTGAAACTGTAAACATAATTTCGAGTTGTTTACGACGACAGTACAGTTGAGACAGATCTATAAGCTAGTCCCCCGATCAATTTCACAGAGTAATGTTGTAAAGAGTTATGTAGGTATTTAAGGGTTTAAGGAAAGGCAATCACTTTCCGACAGAGTAATGAAAGTACCATGCAGTGTAAATATGAGGGGGTCAGATAGCCAAGTCAGTAAAGGCACGATATTTTCATGCAGGAGGCGGTGGGTTAGATTCCCGGTATGGTCAAGGAAATCTTTCACGTTGGAAATTTTCTCGACTTGCTTGGGCATATAGGGGAATTTACGTATTCTCGGCAACCTAAGCAGCGACCTTCTTCTCTAAGGCCTTTTTCTCTAAGGAACGCACACATATGCAGTGTTGGTTTGTTTACAATCTTTTGCTGCCAGCTGCTCTAACAATTTCAGTCGAAAGAGTTGTCAAAAACTGTTTTGAAACGCTTTTACAAAGCTCCAATCTTCTCTAGTGAGAGCGAGTATTGTCGGCAACCAATTTTTCTTCGGCAACCGTTCCATTTGAACAGCATGTAAATCTGCTGTTTTATTATCGGCAACTCGAAATCAGCTACAATTTGTAGTGCGTGTGTTTCATTTCAAGAAAACCTTGCTACACACTTAGATTTTTCTACCGAGATCGGCTGTGCAAATCTCGGCAAAAAAAGTTTTACTGAGATATCAGCAAACATTTCATTTTTTTGCTGAGATTCAGCTAAGCATTATCCGAGACTCAGCAATCAAATGTCACTTTTGCTGAGATCTCAGTGAAACTTATTTTGCCGAGATTTGCACAGCCGAGCTCGGTAGAAAAAACTAAGTGTGTAGATTGCTTTTTCTCGGTGGTAAAAATATAATCAAATTGAAGCTGAAAGCATAAAGAATCGTTTGCATGCATTCAGCGAAGTGTTTTCGTAAGAAAATCCAGTGAAAATAGTGTTTCAATTTGGGTTGCCGAAAATAGTCTGTCATGCCGAAGCCGTCATTTCCCCTAGATTGTGCTTACCACAAAATATAATGCATTGGTTGACATAGAAAGCTCTCAATCAACAACTGTGGAAGTGCAATTTGAAACACTACCGTATGCGTGATAATGTTTGCATCATTGAGCAATGCCAATTAATTAAAAAAAAAATTCTCGAAAATTTCGTGTTCGAGTTTTTTTTATTTATTTAAAGGGGGGTGGTTCTCAGAGTCTTAAACTATGTTAATCATCGATCGAATTTCCACTTGCTGCAATAAAGGTCTCCACACGCTTCCGGAATGCACGGCAGGTTCTTATAATGAAGTCTGGATCCATTTCTCTTCAGGTACGGGTCAATGTTTATCTGAGGCTTGCTGTACTCGGGTGGCGTTAAGAACAGGCCTTGGCCTTCATGACGCGCTATATTGAGTAATTCAGCGGATTAAGATCGGGGCTGGATGGCGGCCACATATCCTTCGCCCACAACGGAAGATGTTCCTGCAACCACTTCTGAGTGCGGTTCGAGGTGTGGCACGGAGCCCCATCTTGTTGAAATACAACATTTGGCTTCGGACCATACTGTTCTTTGAACCACGGAAGAACATACTTACTTAAAATCCCGATGTAGACCTCCGTGTTGACCTTGTCGCCTTCTGGAATGAACACCAGGTCCATTTTTTCCATCGGAAGCCACCAATGCTTGGACAGATACACGTTCTTGTGCTCGTCGGCCACGTCTTTTACCGGAAGAGAACTAATATACCGGTCGGTTCTGGAATTTGATACGGGCTCGACGGTAAACATGCTCTCGTTGGTGAACAGGATAACCGGATTTTTTCGCTTAAGGTAGTTCGAGATTTTCTTGCATCGTTCGACTCGTAGCTCCCGGATGCGGTTGGTAATCATGTGAGTTTTTTTCCGTGCCCTCGACTTCGCCCCGCAATCTTCCGTGCCGTAAAGTCACTGATCCTGTGTTCCGTTGCAATTTTCTTTATTGAAAGCACTGGATTCACCAGAATCTTCCTTTTGATAGCAGCGATAACCCTCGGAACCCGAGCTGACCTCGGACGACCTGTGCCCATCTTCGCGGATTGTTGTCCTTTCTCTTCTCGGTCTAAAACCCTTTTGACGGTCCACCGGGACACTTCCACGGCGATTGAAATGTCTTTTTGCGACATTTGCGCGTGGGACAAATCACGAATACGCTGCCACTTCGTCATGGTGCAACTGTCAAACTAAGTCAATAATTTTCTTTTATACACAGCCTACTACGGTATGAGCTATAGGTTAACTGCATGCAAAGAAAACCGAGGCATTGTATGCAGAGGTGAAACGGGAACCTTATTTGTACGATGGTTCAAACATTATCACGCATACGGTATGGTTAGAGCCACCATAACAATTGTAATTTTATTTTACTTGAAAAAAACCTGGAATTCTGAGAGATTATTGATATTCCTGTGGTTGGTTGAAGAATGTTTATTTGGTTTCAATAATTTGTTACAAGTTTCCTACTAGAGACACTTGAAGCACCCTGTATAAAAAGGCTATGTACACGATCACCAAGCAGCGGATTAATGATAGTGAATCCGGAATGGATTTTTCGGCTTCCATCAAAGCGAGTGTCACATCCAGTGCTGATAAAAATCATTCCTTTTATACAATGAAGACAACCTTAACAGATAGACCAACTACTTGCATGAATTTGATTTTTGACATAAACACATGTGTTCGCGCGACACTAACTTCTTTAGGTTCCTGCGGACACACTTTAAAATAACGCGGCGGACTTCAATTTTTAAAACTATTTTATTACGCGAACAGAGTACATATATTTTTACGGTATTTAAATACGTGTTGTACACGCGACGGTTTATTAACTTCTATCTTATATTCTATCTACACTATCAGCTGACCGGCTACAGCTGCTGACGATCGAGAAGCGATCGGGATAAAAGGCCTGTTCGCACACTACTGTTATCTATCGATCGTTTCTTAAAGTGAAACAGACCGAGAGCCTACGTGAAGATAACAAAGATAACAGTAGTGGCGAACTGTGTGGAACCCGTTTGGTCACTCATTTACCATTTAACCCTGTCCTGCTTGACCATAAGCCGCCTTGGAATCCTATCGATTTCAATCTATCCTACTCTTACTACTGTGTGTTTTCAAAATTCAATGTGTGGTGTGATATAGTTACAATTTACAATAGAATTCATTTTCATCTTACTACTGCTGCCGCTGCCGCTGTTGCTGCTGACTATCGAACAGTTGACCCACATACGATAACTGCTGCTGACCGTGATGACCTTGGCCTAAATTCGAACTTCTGGATTCCACTGCTGTAACTGCCTATTGTTCGATCAGCTGCTGCCGTGCGATCCATCTCGTTGGATGTTTGATGTTGATTTGCCAGTGTACCTCGGTAAACATGGAACGGATGTAGTGTCGTGCAGTTTGGTTGTGTAAAATCGGAACAACATACCTGGCAGAAATATTTCTGCTTCTGCAATTGTCCGATTGGCACGACATTGGTTATCTATCCAGGTTTGATTTCGGTTGCTCTGTTGTGAATCTTCGATTATGCTTCTGACGTTGGTGATGTTTTCCTTCTAGGATTGGAACTATGCTTTCGTCCGATCGACGGCTCAACAGGAACGATGCCTTCCGTGGTTTGGTACGTGTGGTTTCGGTGATTGATGTTGTAGCTGATGCGATACTGACGTGATCCGTGCGGTGCGTGACGATGTTCACGGCCGATCCGCACGGTGCGTGCGATGTGATCTCTGAATAAAATAAGAGGGTGCTTTTTCAATTGAACTACTGAAAAACAAAACGACTTGCCCGTGTGGCATCGACCATCCCTCTGCGTACGATTCGAATCGAGACGACGTTCTGACATTCGACGATTGAACTACGGTGACTGCGATGTTGGACCCACATTGCTGAGAAAGTACAAGCAGGTTGGCCATACCTGTTGGCGATCACAGCGTAGAACCAGGAGGACGAATTGCGCACTTCTTCCTCAGGATTGCTGTCACTGTTTGGTCGTACCTCGAAATATCAAACGTGTTTGGGAGTGTGAATTTCGAATCGAGCTGAACATAAATTTGACGGTTAGCACCATTGCTAAACACCGTCTTGACTGGACCTCAACAAGACTGGATGCACATGCAAATACCACCACCAAAAACGACACATATTACTTCGAAATTGGACGCTAGACAACTCAAATTTGGCGAAGGAGTGTCGGGTGTTTTGGGTTGACCAAAAACGCTGAGGTTTGACTGGAGAAAAATGAGCGATTACTTTGTAGAAAATTGAAATTATGCATAACTTAACTGGGTGTGCGGAGGCCTCTCGACCTCCGCCGTTGGAGGAGTCCTAGTTCTCCTCTTCTGACATAGGAAGATTGTCTCTGATTGGCAGTACACAGATCTTTGAGATCGCTCGTCTGTAACTGCCATCCTTGGTCCGGACGGTTGCAACTCGGATGTTTCCGTCAGATCCTGGGTGAACCTCTGTCACCCGTGCCAACTGCCACTTCAACGGTGGGAGATTCTCCTCCTTGAGAACAACCATAGTTCCAATTGCTATGTTGTACCTCTGACGCGTCCATTTTGTCCTGTTGTGGAGATTTGACAAATACTGCTCCGACCATTTCTTCCACAGTTTCTGGGTATATGCTTGCACCATTTGCCAAGCTGAAAGTCTGTTTTCGGGAATTGCACAGAGATTGGGCTCTGGAATGGCCGTCAGAGGCCGCTGAACCAAGAAATGTCCTGGTGTAAGCGCTTCGAAGTCGTCTGGATCGTTGCTAGTGGGTGTCAGGGGTCGGGAATTCAGGATTGCTTCCGTCTGAGCTAGCACGGTCTGCATCTGGTCGTATACCGGGCTGCGGGTGCCAATCGTTCGTTTGAACAGGATCTTGAATGATTTAACCGCTGATTCCCAAAGCCCTCCGAAGTTCGGTGATCGTGCCGGAATGAACCGAAGTTCGATTCTATCCTCTGTCGTATGTCGTAATACTGCTTCTTTGAACTGTTGGCTGTCGAACAACCGTGCGAGTTCATCCAATTCCCTCTTGGCGCCAACAAAGTTCTTCGCGTTATCACACATGATGAGAGACGGTTTTCCACGACGAGATGTGAACCTCCTCAACGCAGCCAGGAACGCTTGAGTAGTGAGATCCGCTCATAGCTCAAGATGCACTGCCTTTGTAACCAAGCATACGAACACTGCCACAAAGCACTTGATCGGATGCACTCGACGCTGAGGGTAGACTACGTAAAACGGTCCGCAGTAGTCGACACCAACCTTCTGGAAGGGGAAGCATGGCGTTACTCGCTCGGGAGGTAGGTCTGCCATTAATTGCTCCTGGATTTTAGGTTTCACGCGGAAGCACTTGACGCATTCGTGGATGACTTGTCTAGTCAGTTTCCTGATGCTTGTAGGCCAGAACTGTTCTCGGACGTTGGAAACTACTTGTTGCTGACCGGCATGGAAATGCTTCTGATGATAGTAAGCTACAACTGCTCGTGCGAAGGGATGCCGATGATCCAGGATGTAGGGATGTTTCCGACGGTCCGATACAGCAGCGTTCTTCAGCCGGCCGCCAACGCAGAGTAAGCCTTCAGTAAGTTGCGGATTGAGCGGAGATATTCTGGACGAATCTTGCACCTGACCACTCTTGGAAAGGTCTGCTAGTTCCTGGGGAAAACTTTCTTGCTGTGACAATTTCACGAGAGCCTTGATCGCATCGCTGTACTCATGGAAAGTGATGTAGCCCACCTTCCTGCAGAGTTGATTCACTGGTGACGAATTCCATTTAAACCGTTGAATATAGACAGTCAGTCGCACAAGATCTACCAGAGACGATCGAAGGCCGAAAATTTCACTCGGACTGACGGTTGGAAGGGCTGCTGCAATGGCTTTACTCTCCAGATCCGCTATGTTCAACTTGTTCTCATCGATTTCTAGCACTTTGGGCCAGTACTGCTGATCTAACTTCAGCCAGCAAGGCCCGTGAAACCAGCGTGGATCGTACTGCAGCTGCACTGGGGTCATGCCTCTTGAAATAATATCCGCAGGATTCTCCTCTCCTGCGACGTGATTCCAAATTCCTCCCTTCGTTATGTGTTGGATTTTGGAAACACGGTTTGCCACAAATTGCTTCCATCTAGATGGCGACGACGAAAGCCAGCAAATGACGATGGTTGAGTCTGCCCAAAAGAAGCATTTGGCAGTAACGTTGATGCTGTTGACGATTTTCTCGTAGAGGTGCGCTAGGAGCAATGCTGACGATAGTTCCAGGCGAGGAGTCGATAATGTTTTCTTATTTTTCTTCAAATTTTCGAGTGGAGCTACTCGAGATTTGGAGGTCAGAAGATGTACTGCCACGCTTCCATCTATAGCTGTAGTGCGAACGTATACGCATGCTCCGTACGCTTTGTTCGAGGCGTCACAGAAGCCATGCAGCTCTACTGCTACGACGATACGGCTTATTCCAATCCATCGATGTACTGCTATCCCGTCTAAGCTTGCTAAGTTCCGCCTGTACTCTCGCCAGTACTCCTGTAACTGCAGTTCGAGTGGATCATCCCATCCACAGTCTTGCTTCCAGAGATCCTGCAGAAAGATCTTCGCCTGAATTATTACTGGTCCTACCAGTCCCAAAGGGTCAAACAGTCGGGACGCATCTGATAGGACACAACGCTTCGTTATCTCCGTTGATTCATTCCACATCGGCGAACTGAATCGAAAGGAATCTGTGCTTGGTTCCCAGGTTAAACCCAGCGTTTTCACAGACGAGCTCGAAGAATCCAATTCTAAAATCGAGTGTTCGTCCCTCAAATCCACCGGCACCTCTGACAGCAATTCCTTGCTGTTAGAATTCCACTTTCGTAACGAAAATCCAGCTGATTGCAGTAACTCTATCATTTCCTTGATGAGCACCTTCCCTTCCTCAATGTCATCTACGCCTGACAACATATCATCCACGTAGAAGTTCTTTCTAAGGATGCAAAGGTCCTGGGTCCAGCTGGGTGCGAATCCTTGCCTTCATCGGCCAAGCGTTGCAGACATTTCGTTGCCAAGTAAGGTGCTGATGCAGTGCCGTAGGTAACTGTATTGAGAACGAATGTCCGAATGGGTTCTGTGACGCTATCTCTCCAGACGATTTTATGCAGCAGACGATCCAGTAAACTATGCAGCACCATCCGATACATTTTGGCAACGTCTTCTACAAGAGCGAATCGATGCGTAAGGAAACGGAGAGTGATATCCCCTATCATGTCTTGGACTACGGGTCCCACCTTCAGTCCATCGTTGAGTGAAATGCCACTGGACGTTTTGCAAGAAGCGTCGAATACTACTCGCAGCTTCATCGTCGTGCTGTCAGGCTTGAAAACGGCGTGGTGAGGCTAGTAGTATGACGGGGCACTCGTATCTTCTTCGAAAATTTCCTGCATATGACCCATGGCTAAATATTCGTGCATGAAATCCACGTACTGCCTTTTCAGTTCTGGATTCATCGAAAAACGACGCTCCATTCCCATAAAACGCTTGATTGCAGTCGATCTGGACTCACCGAGCTGCTGGATAATCGCCTCCTTCTTCGGTAACGTAACCACGTATCTCCCGTCTTCATTCCTGACCGTTGTCCTATCGAAGAATTCTTTGCATGCTGATTCCTCGACTGATAACGTACTGCGTACAAGTTTTAACTTCCCAGAACTTCGAAAGCTGATCTTGAATCTGCGCTGTTGAACAGATTAGAGTGTACGATGCGCCTGCACGATTTTCAGGAATACGACCGGAAACAATCCAACCGAATACGGTGTTCTGAAGCGTCGGGCCATCTTCGGTCGCCTTCTGCCTCTCCTCCTTCAGCAGCTCCAAGAAATATTCCGCTCCGATGATGATGTCGATGGGTCCTGTCTCGAAGAACTTAGGATCGGCTAGATGCAGACGATCGGGAAGATTCCACGTCGTGATGCGGAAACTTGCGGTTGGAAGTGACACAGTTAGCTTCGGCAACACGTGGAACTGCATCTCTTCAGTGAATGATGAAATATCTTGCGATATTGGACCCACTACAGCACTGACTAACTTCGTCGAAACGGCTTGAGATTGTCCAATACCTTGGATTGACAGAAAGACTGGTGTTTCTTCTAGCTTGAGCTTGCTAGCGAAACTCTTTGTCATAAGGCAGTGCTGTGAACACGAATCGAGCAAAGCTAGTGCAAGCACAATATTGCCATAGCGATCCTTAATGCTGACCATTGCGGTCGAGAGAACGATGTTTTGTGTAGGTGTGATGGGGAGAGCTACATGTGTTTGGCTTGTGGTGGCGTGTTCTGTGGCTGGCTGAGTGTGTGAGTCTTGTGAGTTTGCAGTGTTAGCGGTCCGTGTTTGATGGTTCGAGTTTGGTGGGCTGGATTGTGGCTGTCCAGACTGTTGGTTTGCTGTCGAAGGTCTTGACAGCGAGGGTGGAGCGGAGGATCTAGGTTGATCACTGTGCAACCAAGTGTGATGCTTCTGATGACAATGGCGGCACGTTCCCTTCTCGCAGTTTCTGGCGATATGCCCAGGATACAAACAGTTCCGACAAAGTTTGTTCTTAGTGACAGCCTCATTTCTCTCCGCCAACTTCATCCGTTGAAATCGAATGCACTGGAATACTGAGTGACGTGGTTCACTGCAAAAATGACATTTGCCAGCTGATTTCATGGCTGTGTGGCAAACTGCGATGCGTGGTATCCGTGGACTCGAGCTGGCAGATTTTGCTAAGGCGATTGATTGCAGGACTGAGCAGTGACCCTTTAGAAACACCATCAAATCTGCATACTTGGCGACTTCTTTGCTGTTATGATGTGTTTCCCAATGCCGGATTGTGGCCGAATCCAATCTGCAACACACCATGTAGGCCAGGATGGTACTCCAGTCGGCAGGTTTTTCGCCGATCTTATCTAGCATCTGAAGATTTTTCTCAAAGTCTCCAATAAACTGGTTGAGCCCTTCGTATGTTTCTCTTTTGAGGCCTTCCACCGCGAATATAGCGTCGAGATGAGCTTTTACGATCAACTTCTTATTCTCGTAGCGACTCTCTAACGCCTTCCACGCTACAACGTAATTGGCGGCAGAAAGCTCTATTGCGTTTAGTTCCTGTAGCGCATCACCGGACAAAGAAGACCTAAGATAGGTGAACTTGTCGATTTCCGAGAGTAGAGTACTGTTGTGTATGAGACTCCGAAAGCTGTCACGATACGGCACCCATTCGTGAACCCTTCCACTAATGAAGGTAATTTAATTTCAGGCAGCTTTACTCTTGCGAATTGAGCTGCGGCTTGCACGCCCGATTGCTGGTTTCCAGAAACTGCCGTCTCACAGATTCGAATCGATTGGAAATCCAGCAGATCTGCCTTCAAAACGTAATAACGATCCTCGAAATCCTGCATGAGCTGATCGTTTTCCTGTTGCTTTCCATCATCTTTTTCTTCCTCTTCTTCCTCTTCAAGCAGCAACTCAATTTTTTCGCGGGTCTGGACGAATTTCGTAAAAATATTCTCAAACGCTTCGAGACGCACGGTAATCTGGCGAGCATCCCTTTCTGCTTGAAAGTTTTTGACGAATTGTTGGATCCCGTCCAAAGAATTTCGCAACTGATGTTCTCGTTTGCTCAAAGTCCTTAGGTCTGCCATAATGAATCACTCACTGCACTAGCACTGCACTAATAATTTAAAATTCACACTATGTGATTACAGGATGCACTTCTCTGCAATCTCACTGCACTGCACTGCCACACACCACAATGCACTACCGATCGACTCAACGTACCACCCACCGGACCTTACGACTTGACTGACGATCGACCTGACCAATTTGACTGCAGCAAGAGGACCAACCTTGGGAGAACCAACAAGCCGACAATACCAGCGAAAATTTAGACCAATCGAGACTTATGGCGAGTGGACAACAAGGCTACTGCTTATAAATAAAGATCGACTCACATGCATTTCATAATTTATTACAAAATCAGCCACAGAGTTTTGAAAGCGTCTCATGCAACACGCCACCAACATGCACTACTCCCTGAACTTCCTTTGGCTCCGAATTACACGAATCGCTGTCTTCATCCAGTTTCCTACCGCCCAAGATGACTTGTTCCTGGTCCGAGCCTTTCCTTGATGCAGCTTCCAAATGGCTGCACACTGCCAATCAAGTGTAATTTCACGATGGCTCCTTTGGCACGAGGTTCACTAGCGTCGGAAAATGGTGACACTATTCACCGGGTCACTTATTCACACCGTCACAATAGTCTAACTATGGATCGTCGTCCATCGCGATCTTCACACAATAAATTTCGCGACAATTGTCCACCGGGTGTCCATGAACCTTCACCGTAAATCCGGCTCGAAGGACCAAATGTTCGCGCGACACTAACTTCTTTAGGTTCCTTCGGACACACTTTAATAAACCGTCGCGTGTATAACACGTATTTAAATATCGTAAAAATATATGTACTCTGTTCGCGTAATAAAATAGTTTTATAAATTGAAGTCCGCCGCGTTATTTTAAAGTGTATCCGAAGGAACCTAAAGAAGTTAGTGTCGCGCGAACAACATGCTCTTGATCAAGGCAACCTCTGAGTATCGAAGTCAACATTTGTTTATATTCATTCGTGGCTGGATGTTTATTATCGCCAGTGTTGTTGTCAAGATCTTTATCTTGGTGGGGATGTTTTCGAGGATCAAATGCGAAATGATTATTTTTATTTTACAAAAATATAGCACTGTAGATCGTGTTGTGTTGGTTTTTATACACAGATTGCTGTGAAATTATGGTAGAAAGGTAAATGAATCATTAAACAATGACGATGTTGTTAATAAGTAAAAACAAAAATCTCCTTAAAATAGATCGGGTTGCTCCTTAAATGATTGATCAAAATACTTTAAAATTTTTAAAATGCTCAGTAAATATTTAAAGTACGCTCAATAAAATAGAGAAAACTGTACATTAAGCATTTGAAAATGCTCCTTAGTATGCACCGCTTTGCACCATTTGAAGTGTAATTGTACCATATATCATCAAAAAAGCTGCTGTAGAAAGGTTAATAAGTACCATGAAATCAGCTGAAATGTTCAGTAAATCATTGTGTGCATTTGTGCATTTTGTTTATTTGTTTATTTGTATATTGAAAAATTCAACTGACAATTACCTATTGTCTAAATGAATAAAACTTAAACTAAATAGTTAAGGTCAACGGTACGGAAAAGGCCAGCAGTTCTGAGAATTCACAGCAGTTTCATAATCATCAAGAATGGAAACTTCATGGAAATTCCATAAACTTCAGAGAAGCTTCAAAAGCTTAAGGTAAATTTTGACTACTTTAGGGCTGTTTCATTAAATTCAGGAAAATAGCAAGATTGAAGGTTGAAATTAGAAGTTAAAAAAAAAATCAATGACAGTCTAGCGATCATTTTGGAAGTTTAGAGAACCAAAAATATTTCGGAAACTTCACAGATAGACAAAAAATAATCACGGTACTGCATGGTTGCAAATTTTAGAGGTCCTTAGGGCAGTTTTATTAATTTCATAGCAATTCTAGAAACATTGTCAGAAGAGTAGTGAGAACTCCTGGAATGATAAGAAAACTTCGGGGGTTTTCTACACAATTTGGAGCAAATTTTATGAAGTTCTGAGGAATGAAAGGAAATACCGAGGATTTTGAAGAAGTTTCATGAAAAGACTGCGGGATAGTAAGGAAACTTCAGGCAAGCTTAGAAAAATTTAAGGGGGTTCGAACAGCGGGAAGCTGCTGGAAATTTCAAGAAGCTATTGGAACTACAGAGATATCCAGAGAGCTTCAGGAAAGTCATAAAAACATCAAAGAATTTCAGCTGAGGTTGAGGAAAATTGTGAACACTAAAGGTCTAGCGTTTATCAGGGTAGCTCAAAGTTCTTAAACTGTCACAATATATTCAGAACGGCCAGGTTTTCGAACAAGTTTAAAACTCTTGAACGTTAGTTTCGATGAGTTCAGGACAGCATCATGAAAGTCGTCAAAATTTTGTGAAACTTTAAGAAGTGCAAGAAAATTTTAGAGAAGTTTAGGAAAGTCCTGACGATTTTAGAAAACTCTAGATTTTGAATTTGAAAGAAGGTCAGATATTTTCAAACAAATTAAAATTGTTTTAGGACAGTTCTATTTATTTCAAGACATTGCCAAGAACTTCAAGAGAATTGAAAGAACTTGAAGGTGGATTTGAGATGATCTGGGCTTTCAATTAAGTTTTAGGAAATTACAGGAACTTTAAAAAAGCACCATGAAGCTCAGGGAACTTCCAAAAGCAAGGCTCCCACATCTTAAAAGAAGATCAGAGAAATTTAGATAATTTTTAAGGTTTTTAAGCAGTTTTAATATTTTCAGAGATGTTACAAATATTTCTAGGAAAATAAGAGACCTTCAGAGCAGATCCATCAATAATTGCAGGAACTTTCAAGAAATTTCGAAGAACAATAATAATTACTATGTAATATTCCGAGGATTTCACGACCCTAGTAGCACGCTTGTCACAAATCAATTGTAGAAACTTATATACGACTGATTTCAGTTATAAACAAGTTGCTGTAACTTATTGTGATGAAAGTGTGCTACTCGGGGAATAGTCTGAACATATGTTTAAATATGTGGGGTCTTTAGGGAAGTAACATGAATATAGAGAAAATTGTCTGAATGCTAGAGCAGTTCCAAGAACTACTTGAAAAAACGAAAGAGATAATTCTTGACAAATTTAAAAAACTTCAAGGGAGTTTTGATATTTAAATGGAAGTTCAATGAGCTTCAATGAAATATTGGAAACATCCGAAAAATTGTGGGAGTCTTAGGATAGATTGAAGAACTTAAGGAAAATTGCATCAACTTTTAAAAATCTCTGATATATTCAGCTCTTGAGAACATTATTGAAGTTTAGACATTTTTTTAGCAGTTCCAATTACTTTAGGGAAGCTCAGAAATCTCCTGAAAAGTCTAGACTTTCGGGGAAACTTAA